TTGGATTTCTTCAATTGACCTAATCCTTCCAGCCGCAGTATGGCCCTTGGGTTGACTCAGCCTCTAACAGAAATGAGTACCAGGAATTTTCCTGGGGTAACTTTACCTCTTTACTCCGAACTGAGTAACAGATTTTGATCCTTGTGTTCATATTTCTCTATTTATATTTGACTTTCTCGCGACTGTAACTGCAAAAAAAAAAATTATAATGTGAAATGTGATGCCGTGTAGTCAGGTAGAAGTTCACCGACGTTTCGGAGGAAAATGATGCATCCATCTTCAAGTACAGAAATAAGCCATGCAACCAATTAGCAACATGTAGGCAGGAAGCAGAGCTCTAAAGATGAAGACTTACCTTCCTCCAAAATTTCGGTGACATTATACTGGACTACACGGAGTCACATATCAGGAGACTGTGTTCCATATTTTTCTCTGTTAACGTATGAATATTCGTAATAATGTCTGACAAATATTCTTAACACATTGTAGCATAGAAGTCAACTCAATATTCAAGTGTTAAAATCGTACTATGCAGGCAATACACGTCGTCTCCATTCTAAAGAAAAGTCGGTTTAGGGGATCTTATTTTAAGAATCTTGTGGTAGCTACAAACGCACCGAGTGGGAAAAAATACAGAGTTCTTATTAATATTGCAACAGGTGGTACATGGGCTTTAAAATTGTAAATATTGAAGTAAATATTCCCACGTGTGCTAGTAACCAACTGGCACTCAGCGTTCCTTTTTTCATCCCAAACAGGACAATAGTTAATACCCACGGTCACGTGTACTCAGTACGAAACGCCATTTGCAATCCACTTGACATACTTCTAACCACTCTTCGTCAAATGTTGATTGTCATCTTTATAAATTGTGTTACTCGCAACAGTTCAACCATCTGTTCCTTCCTTTATACTTAAATTCATAACTTAATGCTTCGCCATCACTTTTCAGTCCCACATTACCACTTGGTAGCACCAGAACTACAGGCGTTGAAACGAAAGTTATGAGATGAAAGTCTATGTACATCATTTTTTTTTGCTGGCTCTACAGCCTCCTTGGGCACTAGCCTCTGATTTTCAGTTTCATGATCATTTTACAGACGGTAGGATTCCTTGGACGGGTGATCAGCTCGTCGCAAGGTCTCTACCTAAACACAGGACAACATAAACACAGAATAAACACATACACATCGCAAATATCCATGCCTTATGTGGGACTAGAACCCAAGATCCCGGCTTCAGAGCGAACGAAGACAGTACATGCCTCAGACCGCTCGGCTACCGTGACTGGCAGTGTATAAGAATAATATATAAGAATTCAGTTCGTACCTCACAGGAAACAGATCCGAACCCACGATCCCGGCTTCAGAGCGAACGAAGACAGTACATGCCTCAGACCGCTCGGCTACCGTGACCGGCAGTGTATAAGAATAATATATAAGAATTCAGTTCATACCTCAGTGGAAGCAGATCCGAACCCACGATCCCGGCTTCCGAGCGAGCGAAGACAGTACATGACTTAGACCACTCGGCTACCGTGACCGGCGCTATATACACTAGGGTGGAAAATAAAAGAAACGAAAACGCCAAAAGAGTTAAGGAAGGACAGATACTGAACAATATTTCGAAATGTATAGCAAGTGTCACGTAACTTCGAACAAGGCCAAGAGTAACCTTGAATGCGCAGAAGAAAAATTCCAGACAAGGGGTGGAGGGTGTGAGAAGTGACAGGCGGCCAGTGGAAGAGCGAGTGTTAAGAACCTCCTCCCACCACAAGCCAAGCGCGGGATTTGACTAGGAATGCGGAGCCTTGTTCCAAGTTACGTGACACTGTCTGTAAAGCAAACTGGATTCAACGTGTCGACACAATGTGAAAAGAAACATAGAGTTCAGAAACTATTAAAACATTATAAGGAATAAACTTCTCTCGTTTGATTAAAATTATCGACGTTTCAGGGGACATCTCTGAGCCCATCATCAGGATCTGATGTGACATCAGATCCTGACGATGACATAAATGTGTCATCAATGTCACATCAGATCCTTATGATGGGGACATCAATGTGTCATCAATGTCACATCTGACCCTGATGATTGGGACATCAATGTATCATTAATGTCACATCTGACCCTGATGATTGGGACATGAATGGCACATTATATCCTGTGATGGGAACATCAATGTGTCTTCAATGTCACATCTGACCCTGATGATTGGGACATCAATGTATCATTAATGTCACATCTGACCCTGATGATTGGGACATGAATGGCACATTATATCCTGTGATGAGACATCAATGTGTCATCAATGTCATATCAGGTCCTGTGATGGGACATCAATGTGTCATTAATGTCACATCTGACCCTGATGATTGGGACAGAGATGGTCTTGAAACGTAGGAAATATTTAACTGACACGGTTGATAATCAAAGATTTTATTAACTTCATTTGCCGTGAAAGCTACAACTCTCACACTACGGATTATAAGGACAGAGGAACGGGAAAAACATCTGAACAGATTACTGGACAAATGGGGCTGGAACAGATCAAAATGACGATGACAACGTTGATGATAGCTTCAAATTACTAATATAATGGTAAATTCTTTATGAGTTGCATCCTGTTGTGTATCATTCAAAAGAGTATATTTGTATCTGTCAACATAGAAATTCAGTTGAAGTTAATCATGACATGTATCGACACCTATTGGGTCATCTTCAGGTGTATCTCTGTGTACTTAAAAGCTGAATTTTTGTTCAATATGGATCCACATTTTTCTTCATATTTGACTATATCATTAAGTGAATTCTGCTTAGCAGTTCCCCCTCTCCCAGCCTTGGTAATGCTATTCATGGATCTGCTACACAATCACACCCTGAAACAACACCGTCTTAACTTCAATGTCTAGAACAACAAACATTTGTCAGGCTGTAGAATTATAAGATTCAGCAGTGATAATAAGAAATCACGCCATTGGACAATATCTATCCACTTCCGAACTCAAAACTTTTCTTCTAAGACCAATCTTCATAGAAAAAAAAAGTCCATTCTCTTTGACTAGCCAAGATCTGGTGAGGATGTGATACTGTGCTGCCTGATCAGAATAATAGCTCAATTCGGGGGACTGTGGTAGATGAATAAGGAGCAACGGTAAAATTGTTTGGCAGGAAAAGGCCAATGAAACTAGGAAAATAAAACCCTATTCAGTGTCATTGGGAGCATGGGAAAACTTCACAATGTAAGTAACCGGGTCCTTCCTACGAAACTCACACAATAAATGCAATGATTCCCCGAGTTTTGAGACTCTCACGGCTATGTCTATGAAGATTACTGTTTTTCAGAGATGTAACGTCGTGCAGTCTGATAGTTATCGACGTTTCGGAAACATACTGATTTCATCTTCACAGTAGATGAGTAGTTTTCTTAGTTAACATGGTGTTCGATTACAGGAAGGCATTTCTCAACGTCACGTTTGTATAAAATTTGGGACTTCCCCTACTTCTTACGTTAAGGGTACAGGGAGCTACTGACAGGGGAGAAAGCGACAAGGAAGGGAACCCGACCACTTACTTCTGTCTAATTTTTTTCACTGGCTCTACAGCCCCTTTGGGCCCTGGCTTGTGATTTTCAGTTTCATGATCATGACCGGGATTAGCGGCCGTGGGGATCCGCTGCGCTGACCACGTGACAACCTCTATCCGCAAAAGTAGGCACTAACTTCGCCGACAAGCGGCGGTCGCTCAGTCGGCATAGTTCGTTTGCGGGCTACAGGCAACGAAGTTTGTTTTTTATCATTTTACAGACGGTAGGACTCCTTGGACGAGTGATCAGCTCGTCGTAAGGCATATACCTAGAGTACAACACAAACACAGAATAAACGCATACCAAACATCCGTGCCTTGTGTAGGATTCGAACAAACAATCCCGGCTTTCGAGCCTTAGACCGCTCGGCTACCGTGACTTCTGTCTAATGGAGAGATTAAACTGGAAGAATGTTAACATAATAGTTTATTTAGCGACACTTTTTATATCCCTCGCAATGGGAATGATAAACAGAGACTAATGTGGCCAATACAACTACCCCGGCCTCCTAAATATCAGGCAGAAGGACTAAAGACTCTATCGTGATGTTGGTAAGAATGATAGCAAGTTGCCTCCACGCCCCCTTATGACTATATCGCTTCGTGCTTAGGCACAGGGACACCCTTTATCCATTTCAGGATTAAGGTATTAGTACGAAGTGACGGGATTTTTCGTTGAGCGTTAAGGGCGTGGAGATAACGTAATTCACTCTCTTGAGCCAATTGTTCTGCTCTCTTACTTTCATCTTCTTGGATGCGATTCCGTGTAGTCTGGTACATGTCTGCCGAAGATTCTGAGATATGAGATGCCTCAGTTTTCGCCAAACAGTTAGGCATTACCATCCCAGAATATCAATATTTTGATACTCACTGTCGAGAAAACCTCAAACCTCAGGCCCTTTTCCTTATTATCCACAATCAACATCGCCTCTGTTTTCTATTTCTCATTAATAATTACCTTGATATTTTTTATCTCCTTATCCTCGAATGTTTGTTTCAACTTTTCTTTCTACTGTGTTCTCTGTCATTAATACTCGTAGTTTCCTTTACCCTCTTTGTCTTCTTTATCTCTTTCTTTCTCCTCTTAAGTTTTTTCAACATTTCTTTTTTATCTTCCCTTTCCCTGCTTCTCCTACAATTTCTTCTCCTTTACTTTTCCCACCTTCTGTTCCGTCTCCCTTTTCTTCTATCATCTTGCTTTTATTATTAATTTTTTCCCAACTTCTGAGGAGATGGGAGATTCGCCTAATGCATGAAGCGATGATGAGGATAATTTCTTCATCTGTTCCCTCCTCCTGTTCTACCTATCAATCCTAAATTCCTTCAGTGTCCGAAAGGCTCGTGACGAAGCAGTGCTCGTACATGGCAGTGGGATCAATTTCTATCCAGTTCAGCGAGAAATGTTTTTGTTGCAGGCCGTGGTAAGATGAAGAAGATGATGGGTATGATGATGATGGGTTTGGCGATGAAGACAGCCGCCCTAGTGCCCATCGCCATAGGCGGCCTGTTCCTCCTTGCCGGCAAGGCCCTCATCATCAGCAAAATAGCTCTGGTACTGTCACTCATAATCGCCCTGAAGAAGCTGCTGTCTCAGAAGCAAGGTGGCGGTGGGGGCCACCATCACGACTCCCACCACGGATGGCAGCCCAGTGGCGGCGGCGGCGGTGGCGGCTGGGACAGACGCTCACTGGATGATGACGTCGCGGCCCAAAACCTTGCATACCGCGGACAGATTTCCACGCAACAATGACGCAACCCCACACTTCGTTTTTATTTAATTTATAATATTAATTTATTGAATCATCCAACATATCTATTTATATTAAAATCAACTTGATCATTTTTTCACCCAAAACAATAGATACTCCATGTATATATTATGATAGTTTCTGGGTTATAAGTTGAGCACATATTTTAGAAGCAAAGTTTTCAGATAATAACCTGTTATACCTTCGTACTAGAAGATACACGCAGATTTCAGACACCATTTTCAAGGAAAAATTGTGTCTTATAAACGTAAATTCGTCAGTGTGCTTAACTAATTAAGCACTAAGCCACGAAGACGTAAGGAGGAGCAGGTGTATAGATAAATGTTTTCTGGACCGCCGTATTCGTTAGAGGCGAATGGTCAGCTTCACGCCCCGGCCGCTTTACCCCCGGTATCCATTGGATATGAGGCTGGGTGGGCCCCAGAGACGGTCTGGACGACATGGAGAAGGGAAAATTCTTGACCCTAGGACTCAAAGTCCGACCCCTCGGTCGTCCAGCCCGTAGCCAGTCGCTATACTGACTGCGCTATCCCAGCTCCCAAAATTGTGTCTTGTACTCCGCAAAATACAGTATCCTGATTTCATTGAGCACAGTACAAAACCACGGGCTCGACACCGAATAGGCACATTGATATCTGTCCCATTATCACCGCGTTCATATAGACTCTGGGCTCCACCCTAGGTGTACTCGGTGTGAAGTGGCCGGAGCGTAAAGCGCTCCTCCAACTACTACAATACATAATCTGTGGAACTGTACCTTCTCTCCCCTTATACGCCAACACGGCCCGATGCTTTGGCATAAGGACAGCTTCACCCACACAGAAGATGAAATGTTTTATATTCTACATGACCTGACGTTATGCCTTCTCAAAACACCATAAAGGTGTATATATCTGGAATCCATAAAATTCCTTCTTTAGGAAAATTACCCCCCCCTTTCATATGATTTCTTCATCAAAATTAATCTCTTATGAAAAATAATAATTGTAAAGAACCAGCCCAATCTTGCCCCACTGCAAGCCTGAAACAACTTGCAAATGTAGCTACAACTTTTCAAAACAGCGATACACAGAACAAGAAGACGCTGTTCATGCCAGCTGAAACGAATGGGGTCAGAATGTGGCCCAGCACTCTAGTACGTAAAACATATGTTATAATATTATGTATCTGTGACATGGATATTTCATATATAATATAATAAATGCAGTCATGTTATGTGTGAAAATAACTTACAGAGAGACGAGGTGCCATACATGGAATATAATTTGTATATTGCAAAGAAATAAGATACCTTTTTTTTTTGGAAATAAATAATTTTTAGGATGAAGAAAGCAGTC